CCTTCCCCCCACCCGCCTTAGAATGAGTTTGCTATTTTGGCCTTAGAAAATGCTTTAGTGATAGCTACAAAACCCGAGATACAGAAAACAGAATACCTTCTTATTAAAGGATTTTTTTAAATATGGAAATTTTGATATTGATAATAACAATAATCTGACATTGAAGTTTCAAACACAAATAAATCAAAACCATAATTCTCCCCAAATTAGTAATATAGTGTAAATATTTCTTTTTTTAAAGATCTGACAACTACTAAAGTCTGAGCAATATAACTACTAGATCTCTGTGCTGCCTGCTTAGAAATGCCATTTAAATTACAAAAAACAACCCTATAAACGATTAATTGTTTTGTACATTACCAATTATTTAATAAATTAATGATATACCATTTTCCCTGAAAGCAAAAAGTATTTTCCACCTTTGAATGGTGAAAATTAAGAAATTCTGTGTAAGAACAGCATTTAGCAAATAACTGTTTAAAAAAGGACTAATTTGCTAGGTGGATTCGAACATCCATTTAAAATCAATACAAAAAATAATTCACTGTAAATATATAATATATATTTATACATATTTTGAATATATTTACATACATCCAGCACCTATATACTGCATTTGTGCTCTGTAAGTGTGTGCCAACATATATTTTCTTCAATATTACAAAATAAACAAGAAAGGCAGACTCAGAGTTTGCCTTAAGTCCAACTGGTCAATTGTACAAAGTCCACTGCATCTTGAAGCCAGCTAGAAAATTGACACGGTGAGGTACGTCCATACCCATCAACATTCTCCTTTTGGAATTGCTTAAGAGATCCAAACGATATAACTCTTTACACATGTTCTGACCATCTTCCTCCAAGATATTTTTTCTTATTATATTTCATATGTACAAACAGAAACATCAGGGTCCTGGAGAAAAGAGTTCTTTACTTATGGTAGGTAGGTTGTCATTCTTGTTTCTTTATTCCTCTGAGGAATAAGAATGCTTTCCTTTCATGTTTTAACACTACCATTTATGTGTTGGTACTTTGGAAGACAGGGTTCATAAGGCATTGGATCAGGAGAAAAAACAGAGTCATCACCTGAAGAACACGAACTCCTAGTGTCGGGATAACTGGGTGAATACTGTTCAAGGGGTCCACTGAGGTCCAGATATTCCTGTAAGGGAAGAGACAATGTTATTTATATAAATGACAATAGCACTATGCCACCTGACTTGGCTTTGTCATGAAACACGTATATTCACAGTCAAAAAAATGATCAAACAATTCTATGCTAAGAAAGTTTTGAATGTATCTCATCTAACTACTGCTTATACATCTGAAAGAAAGAGAGAAAGAAAGTCAGTCAGGCTAAGGCAGACAAGTCATTTATAACATGAGCATTAACCGCACCAGTGGAAATAAACACGCTCACCACATCAAAAGAGGACTTTTCACTTATAATGATAAAAATGAAATTTTCGTCCTAAATAGAACCATTTTTCTCTAGCATATGGCAATGATTTGGAGAAAAAGATACTTCCAGTCTCATATTCCTTTGGTCAGTTTGACTATCTGGTTTTAAATTCAGATTTAAACAAGTACTACATGGACACACTTATGAGAACTGAAATGAAAAAGAAGTTATCCACATTCATTGGATTTTGCTACTCTACACTAAATATTCTAACATGTTTTTTTCTGTTCTTTCTTTTGTCTCCTCCAGCACCACTGGGGCATTTGCAGGGGTCTTCCAGGGAGTACATTAACTCATCTAGATATTTACCTAATTTTACAACAGGCTACATAAAAAGTATGAGTGAAGTCAGTACAAACTAAAATGTCATATAGAAAAAATGACAGCGTAAGCAAGCTCTCTGTAACAGCCTGCTGGGACACTTTCGTATTTTGATGTCTAATTCTGTAAGCCAGTAGTTTTTAAATGAGGCGACCAGGCCTGCTGATGGGGGTTACAGGGTACGCAGAAGGGGCAGTTGCTCTGGGGCTCAGAGATTCAAAAGGGTCCAGGGCTTCCGGCCGCTGTTGTTGCCACTACTGTGGCAGCAGCGGCTGGAACACTAGGCCCTTTAGAATTGCTACATTGTGCGCTGCAGAGCCCATGCCACATGCTCTGGCGGGGCCAGCAGGGGGTTGGGTGGGGTGAGTCACGCTACATCATCCAGGGAGTGCTGGGGTGCTGGCGCCCGAGGCCCCACTTCTTTCAGATGTACGGAGCCAGCCCCCTCCCCTATGCCCAGGGGTTTGGAAATCCTGATTGCTCCCCTTGAGTAGACATGCGGGGTATGTAAAGCAACTCTAACTCCTGAAAGGGGTAAAGCGGCCAAGTATGGTTGAGAACTACTGTCCTAAAGTAGCCATCAGTGATCAAACCATTGCAACAAAAAGGAAATAATCCAGTTTAATCCAAGATTCAGGTTCAGAAACTTGCGGTAGGCCTCCCCCCCGGCGCTTTATGAAATTGTCTTCTGGATACAAACATGCATAACTCAAAGACACTTGGGATAAAATACCTCACGTAACCTGTCCATTTGAATGGATCTGTGGATCTGATTTTGGTGCATGTATCATGCTTGTATATAAAGTTAGAGATTTGTGGTAGGGAATGGTTTAGGGTTTTAAATGTGCAAGTGGAAGCCATCAAAGGTGTTTCCAATGCTCGGACACCTCAATGCCTGGGTGATCACCTGAAAAAACAGCCTCCTTTGTCCTTTAAATCTAAGCAGTGGTTGGTCTTAGCAAGACATGAACAAACTAACTGGTAGGGTCTAATCAGGTAATTTTCCATGTAAGGGTGGAATATAGAAATAAAGAATTCCTGCCAGCGGGGGGCGGAGGCCTTTGGGGCACAGTGTTATTTGCTTAAACTAAACACACGAGATCTTTTATGGGGAAGAGGCAATACGCCTAATTTATTGAGAATACAACAGTTTCAATCCTAAAAACAGGAGCGGCTTTGTGAGCCGCATTTTTGGGGGGGCAAGAGCCACATGCAGTTTGCAAGACGTGGGTTGACCATGGCTGGTGTAGAGGAAGGCATCATATGGCCAGCTCCCGGGTCTCTGCTGTTCATATGGGCCAGAGCAGTGTGCACTCCGCTCCTATCCCAGACCGATGCCCCCCTCGCGTGGCGCCCAGCAAGTGCCCATCCCTGCTGTGCTCCTCACTCCCACACCCCCACCAGATGCGGTAGGGAGAGATTGTCCCCCGCCGGGCTTCCGTCCAAAGGAAACACCGGACATTTGATATATCTGGTATTTCCTGTTTTTTTTACCGGACGGAGCCCGCAAATACTGAACTTTCCGGGTGAATACCGGACACCTGGCAACCCTACCTGGGGAAGCAATCAATGTGTACATCCTTCTTTCGTCGTTAAAAGGGGCTTGTCTGAATGGTTCGATTGAGGTTCTGATCCCAGTTGGGGGTTGCTTCCCTGGATGCTATGCCTGAAACTGCATTCCCCTCAGATCTGAAGTGATTCAGTGTCTGCATTGCTCTTGGGGTGGGGGGGAGGGGAGGAGAGGGCAGTGATCTCAGCTCTGTCCTGTGGGGGAGATTAGGAGATCTGGCCCAGCAGGACAGGGTGGTGAGAAGCCCCAGAGAGCTAGGAAGCAAGTGTAAGTGGCTTTATCAGCACACTGGGAAGGAGCTCCCAGGGGTCTTCTGTGACCGCACCCCATCACAAAACTTTTGCTAGTAACAGCAATTTTGGCAAGAGGATAAAGTTATTTTTTCCCTTGAACTTTTTCTCTTTCAACTCCTGGAGGGCAGCTGTATTCATGTAATGCTCTCTTGTCATTTGCTAAACCACAAGTTATGATCAGGCTGACGAGACAAATCTTATCTCTCTTCAATTTATACTGCAGCGGATACTTTCATTTAATTATTTGATTAAAATTATTTTGCAAAATCATATCTTACAGTGTCAGATCTTTGGAGTTGTAGTTTTAAAACGAGGGCAACATTGGAGGCTTTAAAACAAACACATGCACCTAGGAGGCAACAAAACAGTTCCTGCAGTTTTGATCCAACATAACTTCTTATTTCACAAGCAATTTTCTGACGGTCTGAAGACAGTATATACATGTATGTTAAAGACACAGCTCTAGAGCACCGGAATGGTCTGGAAATTTCTGACACAAAGGGAAGCAGGAAGTACTGGAACATACATGTGTATGAGAGAATTCTCATTTCATTTCTAGCTCAGTTTCCCAGATCCAAGAGTTTCACATAGTTCAGTTAATAATCTGGGCGGAGATCTTCACCTCTCCTACTCCAGCCCCTTTACAGCACATAGAAGAGCCAAAATGGTGTAAAAGGGCCTAAAAGCCTCATATCAAGCTTGAGGAGAATAACTGGAGCTGGCCTGGTAGAATACAGTGATAAGGTTCCTCCAAAGACCCCTTGCAAGCCCCAGCGCAGGTATGGGGATGGGTGGTAGGGGGACATGGCAAAAGCACTGGGGAGATTATGGGCTGTCCATAAATTAGCTAGGTAGTCTGCAGTAACAAATCGGCTTCTGTAGACGCCATAGTCTCTAGAGCAGCCCAGTATCAGGAGGGTACAAGATGGCTTTAAGCCCCTTCTCTTCTTCTTGGGAATGCAGCGTTTACCCAAACCACCAAACTTGTTAATAGCTGTGATTTAGTAGTAAGAGAACTGAAATCATCCCTATCTCCATGTCTTAATGCATTGCTTGCCGCAACTAAAAGATTCTCAGACTTCTAAAAATTAGGTTTTAGAATAAACTAGAATCATGTATATTTTTAACTGGAATGGTGCTAGAAGTTGCCCTTCTAGAATTGGATAGTTTCTCCATACTCCCCTCTGGGTTTTTGTTCTCTCAAAAGAACTATTTCAGTGGCCCAAATTAACTCCTAGACAGACCATCTGAAATTAGATCATTACTTTGGCTGCTTTTTCTGACCTAATTGACTGAGAATCAAATTAAGTTGGTGAATCCAGAATATGATAAAACTCCCCCCCCCCCCCCCCACACACATAATGTTGAAATATCACTATCCTCCCCCCCACACACACATTTTTCCTGGATGTTGATATGCTGAAAGCATTATGAGATATGCAAAGAGGTGTGTGTGTGTGTGTGTGAGTGTGAGTGTGAGTGTGAGTGTGAGTGTGAGTGTGAGTGTGAGTGAGAGAGAGAATGTCTTGTTACATAAATCAAAACCTCTAGAAGGAAACCATGACTTAATTAAGCCACCTACTTTAACTGTAGATGACCCCCAGAAGAAAACTGAGAAATAGAATAATAATAGAAATACAGCAGTTTCATATTTTAATACAATCCATTCATCTAATGAACTCCTTGTTCTGATCTGCTGACTAAGAAGTGAATAATTTACTTACCTCATTAGTTGTGAGAGTGAGAATGCGATCCAAGTCTTCTACCAACTGTTTAAAAGTTGGTCTCTGCGAAGGCACGGCATGCCAGCAATCTCTCATCATCATATAGCTGTATAAATATGCATTTCATTGGGTTAATTAGCCTTATATATTCCTGTTGCTTGTCCACTCAATTCACAATTACACCTGAACCTCTGTATTCCAGATGTCCCTGATTTGGGAACGCCTGTGGTTCGAGGTGTACACCTGTGGAGCGAGGTGTACAGCTAGTTCGGATTAGGAAGCCTAATCCGAACTAGCTAGTCCGTGCCACGTGTAGCCGCACGGACCGGGGTCCGACCCAGCTGGCATTTAAAAATGGCGCCGGCCGGCTTTATGCAAATGAAGCCCGGGAAATTCAAATCCCGGGCTTCATTTGCAACTCCGTATGACTACATTACCCCCCCTAGTTTGAACTAGGGGGGTAGTGTAGACATACCCTATGCTAGTGTTTTATTACTTCAACAAATAATGGTCCTTACAGTTCATTGGTGCAGTTGGCAGGCTTATCCATTCTGTGCCCTTCTTTAAGCAGCTTAAAAAGTTCCTCCACTGGAATTCCTGGATAAGGCGAACCTCCCAAAGTGAAGATCTCCCACATCAACACACCAAATGACCAGCTATGGAATAAAAGGTAACACAAAAGAGGCAGAACTGTTATTCCTTGTTACTTTCTGCAGCAGTTCTGTGTTTAAGGACCAGATTCTACCAGACTTACTGAGTAGAACCTGACCCCTCAAATACATCCATGGATTTCACTCAGATGATTCATAAAATAAAGAACTACTCGATGTGAAAAACAGTGGCAGAAATTTGGTCCGAAGTTGGGCCAGAATGCAACAGTCCATCTTATTCAGAAAAACAGCTATGGATAAAATTAACGTTATGCATTTGCAACGTTATGCATCTGCTGATTTCAATGGGATGTAAGGAAATGTTTACATTTGATTGTGTGCATAAGTGCTTTGCTGAATAGGGACAGTCTTAAGCACATTCTTAAATGTTTTCTTGAACTGAGGCGCCTCTGTTTGATGTTCTCCAAATGTCCAAGTTGTCAGTTTTCAGGGCTATTGTAAATAGAACTGAAATTGTATCTTACAGTATAATTGTTTATAGAATACATATATGGAAGAGAGGTTGGAAATGTTATGACAGAACATTTCTCTTTCAAAAATGCCAATTCATTAAAAACAAAATGTTCCAGTCATGTGTCATTTTTGGCCATTAATTTGTAGGAAACCAGGCAGGAAACCTTAAGGAGTTTTGGAGCTCAGCACCTAGAAGAACCTTGGCGAACGGGAAGATTATAAAATATAGACGATAAAATGTATTTGTCAATGTAAGAACTATATGCAGACATAGGGAGAACTTCCATTGCAAGTTTGCTCAAAAGTTGCTAAAATTAAACTCTGTTTTAAATATAAAATGGGGCTCGTGGTGCTGATTACCAAATCTCTAGCTATGATTGAAAATCCCAGCTCTTGTTTATAGAATAAACAATAGCTCTTGGCTTTAACCCTTCAATTCCTCATATGGTGTACATGGTTGTTGCACTCCTATTTAAGTGCAAGAGGAGGTTACATATCAGGGTGGGGAACCATTTAGGTCAGGGGCCACACACAATGGAGAAGCAAACAAAAAAAACAAACAAATCCTCGCTGATGTGGCCCTTGACTGAGAAGGAGAAAGACACCAAACAAATCCTCACTGATGTGGCCCTTGACTGAGAAGGAGAAAGACACTTCAGAGCCTATGAGGGTCCAGCCTAATAGATTTTTGTGTGCTTCAGCCCTGTGGTGGGGCAGTGTGGGCTCTCCCATGCCTTGGGCCAGATCCAGGCAAGCTGGGAGCTGCATCCGGCCCCCTGGGCTTGAGGTTTCCATATCTGGCCCTTGGGCCTGAGCTTCTCCACCCCAGTTATATAGAGATGCAAGTAGTCTGATTAGTGCGGGATTAGACACCTTCCTGTCCTGTCCCCTTTTAATTTTAACTAGGGATGTGAAATTTAGGTGACTTTAGTAATCAAGTAGAATTTGTATTGACTATTCGATTACTTGATAGGGGAAGGCAGCCAGCTCAGTCCTGGTGTGCACCACGACCAAACCCTGCTGCAGCTCTGCACTTTAAAAGGCAGCAGAAGCTGGGCAGCCTGCTCCCCCGCTCCTATTGTGTTTTACATTGCAGAGCCACAGCGGAGTTTGGTCTCCAACCTGGCACAAGAAGGGACATTTAGGAGGAGTCAGGTGGCCCCACTCATTCCCTGCTCGTGCTGTGCCGGGGACCAAACTCTACTGCATCTCTGCAATTTAAATCACAAGAGGAGCCAGGGGGGCAGGCTGCCCGGCCCCTACTGACTGGCTGCTCTGGCAGGGCCACAGCTGGGTTTTGTCCCTGCCAGAGAAGCCTCCCCTGCTCCTCTGATAGATTATCAGTATCTGTAAGCTGGCTCCCCAGAGACAGTGGGGGAGGGAGGGGTGTTTGCAAGTAGTCAACTCGACTACTCAATAAGCTTAAGCTTATCGGGTAGTCAACTAACCGACTACTCTCTTACATCCCTAATTTTAACCTTACAATTCCTCAGGCCTGTGTAGCAAGAAGCCCTTGTGGGTTAATATCTTCTCATATAAAAATAAAATGTGAATTTTCCATCAGCACTTTGTAAAAACAATGCTTAAATATGAACAGTGTCAATTAGCACAGTGATTCAGAGACCCAAAATGACAGAAAAAATGGGCTCTTCTGCTTAAATCAAGACAAGTATAGAAGTTTGTTCTACTGTCTAGAAAACTTTCATAGATAGTAAAACAAAGTTATGTCAGCTAGATAGAGTGGGGACACTTCAAAAAAGTTTCTTCCAATTTTAGAGATATAATTTATTCCAGTTATTTCCTGCACTTCAAAACAGAGAAAATTTCTGGAAGCAGTAATATCTGTAAAATTAAAATGAAGTTTTCAAGGTAGCCCACTGTCTGATTTACCTAAATCAAAGACATTTTTAGCACAAATTTCATTAACTGAATATTTCAGGATTATTTCCTTTAAAAAGAAATAGAACAAAGTTCAGAATATTCCCAAAGCCAGGCAAATTAGATAGATGCTTTGTAACTGCACATCCGTAAATAAGTTCAAGGGGGAAAAACTTCCGCACTGATAGAAGGAGGTTAGCATTCTCCACCTTTCATGTCCTTTGAAGCCAGGCAGATTAGTAACAGAGCATTGGTTAGCAGTCTAGCATAAAATCCTTACTTTCTAAGAGCAATGTTTGCTCCTTCTATTAATATGTGAAACAGAGAAAGCAAACAGTTAAGGTTTGAAGAAAGCAGGAAAAAATATATAAAGATTCACTAAACTGTAACTAAAATAGAAAAGCTAAACAAAATAAAGTTACTTACACATCACTTTGATGTGTGTAAACTCTGTCAAACAGGGCTTCTGGAGCCATCCACTTTACCGGGAGCCGGCCCTAGTAACATAAGCGGGAGGGGGATGGGAAATGAGATACATTGAATTAAAATTGTAGTTATTCACAAGGCAATGTCAGCAATGAGAATTCTAAAATATTTAATTCTGTAATATCAAAAAGCACAGGACAATGAAAGCAGTGTTTACCTCAGTGTTCTTAGAGAAAACAGACTTATATCCTCCAGCCCCCAGACGCAAATAAACATATGTAAATTTTTCAGACAAAATGAGCTAAGGCACAGAGGTTTCATAGAAAGGACTCTTCATGCCAGTTATCTCCCACATTGCCTTTCAGTAGGAGGAAGAGGAGGAAAGACTTATAAGGACTATAGGACACCAAATGAAATTAATGGGTAGCAGGTTTAAAGCTAATAAGCGAAAAATTCTTCTTCACACAGCGCATAGTCAACCTGTGGAACTCCTTGCCAGAGGAGGCTGTGAAGGCTAGAACTATAACAGAGTTTAAAGAGAAGCTAGATAAATTCATAGAGGTTAGGTCAATAAAAGGCTATTAGCCAGGGGGTAGGAATGGTGTCCCTGGCCTCTGTTTGTCAGAGGCTGGAGACAGATGGCACAAGACAAATCGCTTGATCATTGTCTTCGGTCCACCCCCTCTGGGTGACTTGGCACTGGCCACTGTCGGCAGACAGGCTACTGGGCTACATGGACCTTTGGTCTCACTCAGTATGGCCAATCTTATGTTCTTATAAAGAGTGAGTAGCCTGATATGGGTGAGCCTTACCCAGGGGCCCTCTGCAAATATGAACTTCAGCAATTTTTAACTAGTAGACTAGCACAGAGGGACCAATTCACAGGTGAGATTATGGTTAGATTCACATCCATCCTGCCCCAATGGCCCAACCCAGGCATGGTGGGCCCAGTGGAGATGCAATGGACTAGAGGCTTGGCATTTCTAGTGATGAGTCTGCAGAGGGGTAATGTCTTGCTTCGAGGTTGATGGTAGATTCTGTTCCCTCCATGACAAAGAGTATGGGGCTGCCCACACAAAGCCCAGTTTCCCCCTTAAAAGTGCAATGGATGCTACAGGTTGACCCTCCTAAATCCGACACTCTCTGGTCCGGCAACATCTGTAGTCCGGTAGGACCACAGATGTTGCTGAACCAGAGAGCTCCGGTCCCGGGAGTGCGAGCCAGTTAGGAGCCCAGCAGCAGGGAGCCCCCCAGCCAGGTAGGGCAGCATCAGGACCAATGAGAGCCCCATCTGGGTGCAGCAGCAGCGGAGCAGCCAGGGAGCCCCGGCCAGGTTGGGCAGAAGCAGGGCCTTGGTAGTTGGGGAGCTTCTTTGCTGGAGAGCCTCAGACAGCTGGCAGCAGCAGGTGAGACCCCAAGCCCTCTAGTAGCCAGGCTGGAGCCCATTGGCAGTGGGGCCTGAGAAGAGCCAGCCAGAGGGGCAGTGTCTTGGGAGGCCAGTGGGAAGGAACCTCCCATGATCCGGCAAATTCCCTGAGGGTGCCAGACCAGGGAGGTCCAACCTGTAGCTTAGAAACTTATTTTTAAGAATTGACAACTTAACGTACTAAATCATTTTAAAATTTTGCACTGACACAGAAACTTGAATCAGAGGCTCTCAAAGCACTTTGCAAAGCTCCCAATGACTTCAAATGGACATTTGGTTGCTCAGAGCCTCTGGCACAAGGTATCTCAGTTATCCCCAAATCAGTGACCACTTACAACATTTTTGGCCGAACTGCCTTGCTCAAGGTCACACAGATCTATAGCAGAGTGGGCAATGAAACCCATTCTCCTGATTCCAGCCCTACTCATTACCACCATAGTATTGTGTTTACAAACCGGAATACAATGCAATAGATACCTGAGTAATGTACACTTTCAGTAATGTACATTACTCAGGTACCATAAAAGCAAACATTTGACTGTTTTCAAAGACCATGGGACCTAATCTAAAACCCATTGAGGACAAAGGGAATCTTTCCATTGATTCCATGGACTGATCCTTTGGATCAGGTCCTATGAAAAGAATTACTGAATTTTATCATTCATAATTAATCATGTAATAAATATTCTCTCAGGTTGTGTAAACAGATAACATTCATCACTTAGTAAAAGTGGTTGGAGATGCTTATGCCCCGATTACTATTTTATCTTCTATGATAAAAAGTTAGGCCGGTGTACAAGAAATCCATTAGGATTATAATCACAATACTTTAATGACCTACTGAAAGAAATACTGGTTCCAGAGATAAGACTGCAAAAGCCACTTACATTAGTAGTTTTTTTATAATAATCTATATTGTTGATGTCTCTGGCCAAACCAAAGTCTGCTATTTTCATCACATTATTTTCAGTTACCAAAACATTTCTTGCAGCTAAATCTCGATGAATGCACTGAAAAAGAAAGACGAAAAATGTGTGAGATATTAAAATGACTTCTAATACATGACTTCATTTTCCCTTAAGATTTTCTTGAAGCAGAAGGTGTATTCAGCATATGATAATTGCTATACTATAATCAAAAAGAACATGGAGTATAATTTTCAAGTCCAATTTTTCAGTGTATCCAGTTTGAAGAACTGCTCCAGAAGTCTTTTGGAAAAGACTCTGGGCTTAATTTTTCAGTATCCAAAGGCTTAGGTGCTTATCCTAACAGAACCAAGCCTTCTCTGAGACACTATTATATTATATGAGCTCCAGTTACAGTACAGGTCTTCCAGCTTTTTAATTATGAATTCTGTTAATGAGCAATTAATCATTTTGACAAAGCTTCAGTCTGACACACTGGATCAGTGTGTGCGCCTATGCATATAGTCAGGCATAGTGTATACCATATTAATGGATATTAATAGGATATATGTTACATATAAGTGTTGTGAAGGTACATTAACTGAATATATTATGCTTTCCCTATAACGCCATTCACACCATGTCAGCTATCCCACAACACTTTGCAAGGCTGAAGTCAGTTTTGGCATTAGAAAATAGGAAGCCTGTCAAAGCTAAGACACATAAAAGGTGTCACCTAGTACAGGTTGGGATGTACCTTTATGCCCAATTGGTTTGGAATGTACTATCCAAAAGAAAGAAAAGTACATCAGAAAACAAGTTAAAGGACTGTTACAAACCATAGTTATAAGGTTGGATTATAATGTGTACAGAATTTTGTAAAATCATACTATGAACAGTGCTGGCTGGAAAATGTACCTTTAAAGCACACCTTCTGTGTGAGGTTGAACATTACGAGAGTTAAGAATTGCTTCCTGGATGGACTAGATTTGGCTAAGTTCAGTTATTTGATCCCCTTGAACATTTTTTAAACAGGTCCACAAGTGCAGTCAAAAAATTGGCTAAATACCAAATAAATGCAACTATTTTTAATGTAACAGTTGTTAAAATTATAACAAAAACATACCGTACAATGTAAAAAAACCTGTCAAGTGCTCTGTGTGTTTACGTGTCTGGGATGTGTGCATTTAGTTTATCCACTGGATTAAAACTAGTTAATTTTGTAAAATACAACTCGGGGAGCATGTTTGGAGCATGTTATGCTTTTGTGAAGGCCCATATGTTAAAGATGAAAAGTTACCACCTCATATATTTTTGTCTTCATGGAAGCTCCTTCCTTAAAATTTACAAATGACCTTTCCCAGCACTGAAAGGAAATCTTAACTGCAGATGGATACCACTGCTATGTTTAAGCAGCTCTGTCATGGGTAATAGAAGGTAGTAACAGGAGACATATTGAGAAACTTTCCATTTGGATTTCTCTCCAGGATATCCTGTTTCTTTTGGAGTTCAATCCCTCCTCTTTCTCTTTTTATTTTAGCTTATTTTTAGATGATCTCTTTATTTTAGCTTTGGGAATCACTCCTTGCATGGGTATCGCCAGGCAAACCATTAGTTAAGTTTTACCGTATAGCAGATCGTGGTTTTTGAGATGGGTGGGTGTGTATACATCTCTATTAGGTGGCTCGCATGCTCTGTAGTTTACCCTAGTAATTCTCTCTCTCTCTGCCTGACCCGCCCACCTTCTGCTCTTTCCCAAGCAAGCTTGTCAGGGGACAACAGGCCCTCACTGTGCCCACCCATACACATGATAAGCCATCAAAACAGAGTTACCAGAGGAAGAGCTTCAAATCATAGACGCATAGACTTTAAGGTCAGAAGGGACCATTATGATCATTTAGTCTGACCCCCTGCACAGTGCAGGCCACAGAATCTCACCCACCCCTCCTAGAATAATCCTCTCACCTGTATCTCAGATATTGAAGCCTTCAAATACTTTGAAGACCCCAAGATGCAGAGAACCCTCCAGCTGTGATCTGTACCCCATGCTACAGAGGAAGGCGAAAACCCGCCAGGGTCTCTGCCAATCTACCCTGGAGGAAAATTCCTTCCCGACCCCATATATGGCGATCAGCTAAACCCTGAGCATGTGGGCAAGACTCACCAGCCAGACACCCAGAAAGTTCTCTATAGTAACTCCTATCATCCCTCTATTGACCTATTTCCCACTGATAATGAATGGTCAATTAGTTATCAAGATCATGTTATCTCATCAAACCATCCCCTTCATAAACCCATCTAGTTTAATCTTGAAACCAGATAGATCTTTTGCCCCCACTACTTCCCTTGGAGTGCCGTTCCAGAACTTCACTCCTCTAATGGTTAGAAACCTTCCTCTAATCTCAAGTCTAAACTTCCTACTAGACAGCTTATATCCATTTGTTCTTGTGTCCACATTGGTATTAAGCTTAAATAATTCCTCTCCCTCCCTGGTATTTATCCCTCTAATATATTTAAAAAGTGCAATCATGTCCCCCCTCAGCCTTCTTTTGGTTAAAGTAAACAAGCCAACCGCCTTGAGTCTCCTTTCCATTCCTCGGATCATCCTAGTGGCCCTTCTTTGTACCTGTTCCAGTTTGAATTCATCCTTCTTAAACATGGGAGACCAGAACTGCACACAGTATTCCAAATGGGGTCTCACCAATGCCTTGTATAATGGCACTAACACCTCCTTATCCCTACTGGAAATACCTCGCCTAATAAATCCCAAGACCGTATTAGCCTTTTTCACGGCCATGTCACAATGGCAGCTCATAGTCATTCTATAATCAACCAGGACTCCGAGGTCCTTCGCCTCCTCCGTTACTTCCAACTGATGTGTCCCCAGCTTATAACTAAAATTCTTGTTATTAATCCCTAAATGCATAACCTTACACGTCTCACTATTAAATTTCATCCTATTGCTATCACTCCAATTTACAAGATCATCCAGATCTTCCTGTATGATATCCCGATCCTTTTCTGAATTGGCAATAGCTCCCAACTTTGTGTCATCCGCAAATTTTATCAGGACACTTCCACTTCCAAGGAGGCCTCAGAGGAAGAAATAAGATGGGATGCTCTTTTTCTGCACATGCCTCCACAGCCTAGGGAAACTTGATTAGGGACAAAAGGTGTCAGTCACCTCAACACCTTCTACCCATACAAATTCTGGCCCCTTTTGCCATTCATTTTCTAAACACCGCCCCCTCGTTGCTTTTGGCCTGCCTCCTACCACTAAAACAGTGCCATTTCAAAAAGCCATATTAGATTACTGACTTCCTTGTTGTGATAATTTGCTCCCTGTCCCTTTTGATCAGGTCCAAGCCATAATTAGGCACCCAACAATTCTCAAACTGTGGTCCATGGAATGGCTCGTTTTGAGAGCCATACACTGGCTATAAGGTTGGGAGAAGAGATGTCAAGAGATCTATTGTAAAATTTTAAGAAATGCCTCCTAAATCCCATTTTTTAGGAACCTTAGTCTCAGTATAGATTAGTGGGATGCAGACACTTAAAACCCAACTTGAGGTCCTAATCTCAAGGGTGCCTATGAAAATTTTACCCAAAAATACTATATACTACAGGGATACGTCTAGATTGCATCCCTTTTTCGTAAAAGGGATGCAAATTAGACGTATCGCAATTGCTAATGAAGCGGGGATTTAAATCTCCCCCGCTTCATTAGCATAAAAATGGCTGCCGCTTTTTTTTTGGCACGAAGCTTTGTTAGAAAAAAGCGCCAGTCTAGACGCGGATCTTTTGGAAAATAAAGCCTTTTCTGAAAGATCCCTTATCCCTTATTTTAAGGGATCTCTTTTAAGGGATCTCTTAAAATAAGGGATAAGGGATCTTTCAGAAAAGGCTTTATTTTCCAAAAGATCCGCGTCTAGACTGGCGCTTTTTTCTAACAAAGCTTCGTGCCAAAAAAAAAGCGGCAGCCATTTTTATGCTAATGAAGATGTGTCAATCAAAAGGTTCATTTTTTCCTTTCACATTGGTTGCCTACTTTCTTTAGTGGACACCCTATACCAAAAGGCTATGGGTTATAGCCAGTCAAGTGCTTCACTAGTAATTTACACCAGCCTCAGCACCTAGGGTGCTTTTCTTGTCCTGGGTTCAGATGTATTCCATTAGTAAATTTCACACTTGAGCGGCTTCTGAGTCACCCAGGTTGTACTCTGACATTTAGTGTCCCATAACGTAGGGATAAAACAAATTTAGACCATGATCCAGCAACCAGATCTGCACATGAGATGCAAGAAAGTCAACCTCTTTCTTGGACAGCAAGACTGGAGGCTCATATTCTAGCTGTCTTTTGCCGCTAACAGCCACAACCTTGTGGGTGGACAAGCAAGGAACCTGGTATAATGCCTACTAACAACATCATCTTCTCAGCCTTAGAGAATCTGGCACTAGGTCTCAAACAGGACCCTTATTCTTATACAGGTTTTATTCTTAATTCCCTGTATTAGCACAGCAATGTAGTATGTTTGTTGGTATTGGTTATACAATATTATTTAAGACTTTCCTAATTATAATTTAATCCAAGAAACAGGTTGAGAAGATTTTTACCATAAGTAGGTTTCTAAGGACCGAGAAATGTACTCTTTTATAAGTGTGCTCTATTGACAACTATTGGCTTAGAGCAAAGTTGAGGCATAATTTGCAGTGAATAATTTATTCAGAGGTTTGTTTATTTTGTTTTTGCCTCATCTTCTGTTCACAAATACCCATGAGCAGTTTAAGATTTGTTCAGTATGAACAATTATGTTCCTGCAATTATGACTTTTCCGATATTTATGGAAAGTTTTTCAACCCTGATTTAGCCAAGTTCTTAAGCATGAGCATAACTTTAAGCACAAGTAGAGTCCCATTGACATGAATGGGGCTTTCACTAACATTTCTACCGGTAAATACGTTCTTCAATTAACACAAAATGGGACAGACAAAATTCAAGTGAATCAATTTAAAGCCTCAAACAAAGATTCCCAGTAAGTTTTGTGCACCATTTGCCTATCTCTACCTACTTTCTGTGAAGCCAAGTAGTCCATGCCCCTTGCCAGTTGGTATGTGCATGATACTAAGTCTTTGAATGTCATCTGCTCCTCTGGTACCCTGTTGATATCAAATGAATATTCCATTCCAGGGGGTCGCCGTGCTCGTAGGTATTCCCGTAGATTCCCTTTAGAAGCATATTCCACTATCACATACAATGGACCTTCAGATAAACAGAACAGATAACAGGAGAGTTGAAAAAGGGACAAAAGGTAAAATAATTTTAAACAGAATCTTATATAGTGCTTTGCATCTTCATTGCACTGTACACACATACATTCACTAACTTAGCTACACAGCAGCCCTGGGAAATTAGCAAGTACCATTTTAAAGATAGGGAAAAAGGAAAGAGAATCATAGTTATGTGACTTGTGTAAGGCCACCCCACAAATCAGTGGCAGAATCAGGTACTCGAGAGTTCCTAAATCCCAGCCTTGAGTTTATTCCTTTCAGACCATGCTGTTTCCTGCACTTCGATCATTTGCAAAACAAAAAATACATGAAACTCCCAAAAGATGGCATTGCCTCCTTAACCCACGAAAGCTCCCTGGTCCAGCATCCTCCGGACCTGACCGGTTCTGAATCAGGGGATTTGCTGGACCGGGAAAGGTCCCCTGCCACAGCACCTCAGCACTTAGCACTACCAGCTCCAGGGGCCCCTGACTGCTCCCAGCCCCGGATGGCCCTGATCCTTCTGCCCTGGTTAGAGGCTGCCTGTGGGCTGCCACAGATTCGGACCTGGCCCCACTACCGCAGGCTGCCAAGGGCTACTGCTGGCTTCAATCCTGGTCCCACTACCGTGGGCTGGTGGGGGCTAACTCTAGTCCCAGTCCCGCTGCCAAGGGCTCCTGGGTACTGTCAAGGGCCCAGACTCCAGCTCCGTGGCAGCCCGCAGGCTCTGGTTCCATGCTCCCACGAGCTGCCCAAGGCTCTGGCCCTCTGGCCCCGCACTACCACAGACAGCTGGAACCACCGTCAGCCCTAGCCCAGTCCTGCTGACGGCTTGAGCTCTGGGCCTGAGACAGCTCGCAGGCTCTGGTGTCGCTTCTGCGGGATACCTGGGGTTCTGTCCCCAGCCCTACACTACCACTGGCTGTTGACTGCCCAGTCCTGCGCTGAGGGTGCTGCCCTGGACCCGGTCTCAGTGCCAAAAGGTGGCAGGAACTGCTGCTGGCTCCAGCCCCACTGCTGTGGGCTCTTCAGGGTTGTAGCCAGCTCCAAACCCTGCCCCATACTGCTGCTTCATCCCGGCCCCACTTTTGGATCGCCCTCCTGCTACTAAGCTACTGGGCTCTCTGATCCAGGAACACCCAGGATCGTGCTGGACCACAGATGTTGCCGGACCAGAGATTGCCCATTTTGGGAGATGCAACCTGTACTATATATTTTTATTAGTCTCAAACTTATACTATATACTTTTGTTAGTCTACACATCACCCTGAACTCGAAATAACTTATCTCAAATCTATTTCAAAATAGCTTATTTTGAAATTTGGCACAACACCAAATTTTGAAATAATGTGCTATTTCGAGCCATCCCTTAACGCTAGTGCAGTTAGGTTCACTGGGAGGGCAAAAGAGCATGCCCATTATTTTGAAAAATATTTGAAAATAACGGGCAGCTAGTGTAGACGCAGGGTAGCTTTTTTGGGATGCCTCCAAAATACCTCTCTGCAGTTTAAATGTACCCAAAGGTGCCACAGGACTACTCACGGATTTTAAAGTTACGGACTATTGGCTACCCCTCTGAGATTTAAAAAAAAAAAGTTTTCCTGTCACCTTTACTCGGTACTGGATTCCCTTATACCTCATAATAAGCTTGTAATAACAAAATGGTCAAACATTTACAGCGTTAAAGCCATCCCTTCCAAATTACATTATTAAAAGTTTCACTACAACAGGACTGACAGTGTAGGAATAAAGTGTGTAAAACTGCTGTTAAAAACACTTTTCCAGAGATAACTTACAGAGGTTTGACACTATGCCGTATTCCTCCTAACATTACAGCTGCAAAGGCTGTTTATAATCAGATATGGAAGTTAAAATATTGCTGCTAAGCTAAAGAAATATCTGCAAATCCCATCACAGCATGACTGTTTCCTTAAAAACTCCTGAAAAATGATGATAAATGAGACACTTCCAGACCTGTTTGAATGAAAGCACTGGCTAGCTTTCTGCTTTTTACTCACCATCCTGTGTACAGGCTCCAAGAAGATTGATGATATTTTTGTGCTTCCCAATCATTTTCATCATCTCCATCTCTGACACCAGGTCGGATAGGTCTTTTTCTGTAGCATCATCTGCACAAGAGAAAACAAGTTCATCTCACATTTTCTGGAGAGCCAGCTTCACTTGGGTTGTCAGCCATTTATCAGCTCATGTGATAACATCTGAAGGACTTGGGTTTAGGAATAAATATGAGCATCCAGGATTCATAGCATGTGACCTAATAAACAGGTTTTAGTCTCCTGAAACAGACTGGTCAACCTCCGTCCTACCCCCACTCATTCAACGTTTGGCAAAAAAAAAGCAAACAATATGGGGAGATTGCCAGTCTGCAAAACCTGCACTGAACTCTCAAATAAGTAACAGTTACATCTTTTCTGAGACCTAATCTTTATAACAAACATACCTGTCCACCTGAAAATGGAAAATTATGGGTATAGCTACCTATCTACAGTGTCTCCTGTGAATGAAATCAACAGACAAGAAAACGGAACAGTTCTAACAAGACTTCATTTGCTGTAAATACCTATTGCTGGAGATAAATAGGCTGTCAAAGGCACTGATTTATACTGAAAACTGCTGAAGGCTGAGGTCAACTATGTGCACTCTGACCTCCCCATAACAAGAGAGATCAGATGCCCCAAAAGAAACTTTCTTGATAAAAATGACCACTTCACCTCCCCTTTTCCTTTTACCTTTCAGCATTTTCACTGCCACAGTAACTGCCTCTTTTGGTCTGTCTTTGTCGATTCCCACTGCTTCTGCCATGACTACTTGCCCAAAGCAACCTTCTCCAAGCGGTTTACCCAGGGTCAACCTAGAGGTGTAAACAGAGAATTAGCACACAGCCAGCAAAGCTCCAGAGCAAAACATAAAAAAAAAAACTTTCAACAACTTGCTACAGCATGAAGCATTTATCAAAGAACAATTGAAACTCTTGTTGCATAGCAGTTTTCATGCATACTGGTTTTTAGTGACACTACAGTGAGTATTCACTACTGCCAGAACAGTTAACAACACCAGTTTTTGAACTCTCCCTTTACTTAGAAGACCAGACACCCTACTTGATGGCTAGCTGGTCAGATTTGCAGGGCTCACGATATGTAGTCCTGAAAAATTGATGCAACCAAAATGCAATGTTTCAGATCAACCAACAGCAGCTGCACTTTTCACATGACTGTACGGTTGTCTTTTTCTTCTTTTCCAGCCAGGCTGCAGGGTGACGAGAAAGAATTTATTTGTGTGTGTGGCTCTGTGTTTGATTCCAACTCTGCTTGTTTAAGTTGGAGTTGGCACAATTTTTGTGTTCTAGGGTGGTATCAACACCTTAGGGACCTTTTAAATATCTGTGGCTCATCTGGCATACACCCAGAGTCTGGAGGCAATTAAGGCATTAAAATGGCTTCTGAACAGTTTAATTTTAAATCAAATTTCTCTTTCCATTTCCTGCTTCAAGGCAGGGGCAGCAAGTCTCTCGCTAACAAGGTCTTGAACTGAAGGGAGTAGGTAGCACAAAAACAGTGCCCCAGCAAGTGCCATACTGGGTAACAACCCCTCTTTCTCCCACTGAAGAGTCCAGAGCTGTGACACAGAGGTGGCCAGGGAACGTTCTGCTTGTGGGAGAGGGGAAGAGAAGGAAGGAAGGAATAGGTGAGAAGGTATGGAAAGGCGGAAAAGCCAGTGACAACCAAGCAGCTAGTCCAGAGGGGTGGGGGGCTGGGAAGAGCTGTTTCTCTAAAGCAGCTGTGAAAGCATAAGAAAGCTTCTCTCTAAATGCCTCCCAGGCTTGAACCACTGCCAGGAACTGCCACTGATGCTGATGGCTCTCCCTGGCTCTGTTCTTCCCTTGCGAGCCCTGGCACCACTTAAACAGAGGCAGCCTCTGTCCTGGTGGGCCAGTTATTGGTGTAAGTGCTCTCTGGAGCAACACCTCTCCCCAAAGTGCTCCCTTATAGTGCACCTTCTCCGCCCTTCCCAGTCAGAGGCAGGATGCCCCTTTCCCAATCCTTCCATTCCTCTCACCAGGGAGGAAATCAGTGTGTTCTGTTTACCTAGAACTGTGTCTCAGTATGATCCCTATGGGGACAATTTCCATGCTGTATGCTCCCCAAACTCCCTCCTGAGTTTCCCAGCTCCTGTCTGCAGGAAAGTAAAGTTCAGAAAAAAGTGCTGCGCCCTGGATTATATCTGTTACCACTGAAGTTAAAGGAGCAGTGCTAAATTATTTTAAAAAACACATTCATTTCCTTGCCTAGCCTCCAGTGTCAGAAGCTGGGAATGGACAACAGGAGATCACTTGGTGATTACTTTTTCTGTTCATTGCCTCTGGGACACCTGGCATTGGCCACTGCTGGCAGACAGGATACTGGGCTAGATGGACCTTTGGTCTGATCCAGTATGGACGTTCTTATGTGCTGATGTTCTTGGTTATAACGGAAAAAACAACAGAAAGATATTTCCTGCTGGGGCAACTGGAGGGACTTTCTTTAAATATTGTTTTTTAATTGAACCATAATACTAGTGAAAATTAATCAACATGCTTTGGGGTTGTTTTTAGTGTGCACACCTAGCTTGAAAAGGTGCAAAGACTGAAGGGCAGTGTATGCTATGCTGAGGTCATTTGGCGTTTTATCCAGAGCTAAAATTGAATTTAAGGTCTTGGCAGAGAACAAACATTTGCATTGGAAAATGGTTAATTTATGTGTTATTGCACTGCTAGCACCAGCGTAACAATCCTGTCGTTATGTGCTTGCTGCCCCCCAAACCTAATAAAATGCCTCTAAATAGCCTCCTTTCATTGCAAAGCAGCTCCACCTACTTTTGTGCTAAAGACTGTTTTTAAACGTTTAGCACTCTAAAATGTTCCACATTTAGTGAATCCCCGCAAGGTAAAAGCTGATGAAATTAGGCACACAGACCCCCACTGTTGACCAGAACATTGCAGGTGGCAATTACAGTACATTGCACCAGTTTTTGGCTACATAATTCAAATAATTTCCATAACCGTTCTCAAAATATACATGATTACAACTCCTCTATGCAACAGACTGATCTTACAAAGGCAACATTCATGGTAAAAACAAGTAGTTTTCTCTAACCAACCTAATGGGATTTTTTTTTAATTAATATTAACTTTACTCTAGGTTTGTGGTTTTATCCCAGTTAATATTTCATAGTACTTATGCATTCAGATTAAAACCCTGGATGATATTTATGGTCAAGATTATGCTCCAGCCCATCTTGCAGATACTCAGTCTTATTACATGCCTAAGAATAGATTTTTCAGAATAGTTTAATTCAGAAAAGAAAAAGTTCCTCAGGGGCCAAAACTGATTATCTCCGTTAGCATTGTACTACACTTTCTATTTATTAATTACCCAAATCGATTAAGAGACATGGTTTAATGGAAAGGAATCCCATGGGTGTGATTGTCCATTAACTTTACTGCAAATGAGATATGACCGAGTGTTGATCCAGACTGTATAATCTCTTGGCTCATTGCTAAACCACAGTTAAGAGTAAGACTTTGTCTACAGTTAATAGTTTAAAGTGCAGCCGATGTGGCCACAGCACTAGCCCTGTGAGACTGCTCTCCTAGCGCTCTATGTAAACCACCTCTGTGAGGGGAGTACAGTTCCCAATGCTGTATTTTCACACGCCTAAGTCAGAAAGTTACAGCACTGTAAAGTGCCAATGTAGACTTGGCCCTATTCCTTTACTACTAACAGGTCAGTTATATAGATTTACTAAAGTTTTCTACAGGTGGAATATGGTTATCTAAATGTCTCTGAGGGACATCGGAAAATTTTAAAATAAATCAGAATTATAAATATTGGACTCATAAAACAGAACTGAATCTGACATTTTTAGAAAGAGTTCCCATATTTGGGATTTTCATTTAATTGTATTAAGGAAAATACATACAATTAAAGTAATCCTTGAAGAATTTTGGAAAGAAAACCTTTTCAAAGTATCAAGTTGTGATTTTCAGATGTCTACATCTGAAAAATGTGTTAATGAAAATCGTCTAACTTACTTATCTCTAGGGAATTCCCATTTTGGATCCTCTGGTAGTTCATACTCTGAGACACCTGCTAGCATTGGGGCATCAGCATTTGATGAGAGACGAGTTGTTATCCTCACCAGAGGTGTGTTGGAGTTCATGGAGGAACTAGAATCTGCAGACACCTATTATTGGAATGCAAGATGCAAAAGGAGATGTAATATTGGCCCAGCTACTCAACAATGGCAATACATTGTAACCAAACCAGCTGATATTCCAGAAAATGAAGAGTGGATGAAACCACAAGCTTCACTTGAAAATACTAGTGTACATTTGGACATGTTTATCTTCCTTTCCAAGTAAAGCACTGACTCCAAAAGTCAATGAGGAGGAGTCAGTTGCACTAGCAGGCTGTGTCTAGACTGGCAAGTTTTTCTGCAAAATCATCTGCTTTTGCGGAAAAACTTGCCAGCTGTCTACACTGGCCGCTTGAATTTCTGCAAAAGCACTGACGATCTCATATAAGATCATGTTAAAAGCATTTCCGGAAAATCATGCCAGTGTAGACGTAGCCGCAGAGTAGCGTAGCCAGAGTGCTATATGTTTAAACATATTCATTATTAATTAAGTTGGCATCAGTTTTCCTCTTCCATTCTACACAGGGGCTACGTCTACACTGGTCCCTTTTCCGAAAGGGGCATGCTAATTTTACAGGTCGTAATAGGGAAATCCGCGAGGGATTTAAATATCCCCCGCAGCATTTAAATAAAAATGTCCGCCGCTTTTTTCCGGCTTTTAGAAAAAAGTCCTGTTCTAAGGACAGGTTCAGAGTCATATCCCAACTAATCAAAGAAATAATTATATTTACAACACAATCCCCCTTCCAAACAAAACCTACACTGGCCCCGATCCTCCGGAAAAAAGCCCTTTTCCGGAGGATCTCTTATTCCTACTTTGAAGTAAGAATAAGAGATCCTCCGGAAAAGGGCTATATTCCGGAGGATCGGGGCCAGTGTAGACGCTCTTTTCCAGCTTTTCTAAAAGCCGGAAAAAAGCGGCGGACATTTTTATTTAAATGCCGCAGGGGATATTTAAATCCCCCGCGGATTTCCCTATTACGACCTGTAAAATTAGCATGCCCCTTTCGGAAAAGGGGCCAATGTAGACGTAGCCAGGATGAAACATTCACACTTGTCCTTTTTATTAGTTTTACCCTACAAACAAATTAATACACTTATTTTCTAAGAATTTCTATTTACTTGGTATCATGAGCTTTCATGGGCAAAACCCACTTCCTCAGATGAGCACAGTGGAGAGAAAAGGAGGGTTTTATATATATAGTATCAGGAGCTTTTATGGGCAAAACCCACTTCCTTAGATGAGCAGAGTGGAGAGAAAAGGAGGGCTATATATTTTGGAACATGAGCTTTTGTGGGCAAAACCCACTTCCTTAGATGAGCAGAGTGGAGAGAATGCTCATGATACCAAGTAAATATATATGTTGTTAGTCTCTCAGGTGCCGCTCATGATATATATATGTTGTTAGTCTCTCAGGTGCCACAGGACTACTTGTTTTTAAAGTTACAGACTAACATGGCTACTCCTCTGAAACTATTTACTTGGTATTCAACTTGGCTAGAATAGTTTGAGAGCTCAACAAAATACAGAAAAGTCCTGTTCTAAGGACAGGTTCAGAGTCATATCCCAACTAATCAAAGAAATAATTATATTTACAACACAATCCCCCTTCCAAACAAAACCTCAAAGAGGTAAATTTCTGACCTCCCTGAAGTCAATAGAACTAATGGAACTACTACCACTGAGTTCAGTGGGACTTTTTATAAAAAACAACTTATCAGTGTTGATTAATTATTTTATTTGGGGGGACGAGGGGAATGTAATGTTATTTTTTGTTAGGGCTTTTTTTTTGTCCCCCCCCCTTCTCCTAAATTATTACTGAAAACATAAAAAGGATATTGATCTTTTCAGCTCACTAAAAAAAAAAAATCAAACAAGTTTTTGGATAAAGAACATTTTCAATAACCATATTAATAGAATTTTTTAAAAATATTGAAAAACATTCTTTAAAATTTGGGGAGGGGGGAATGAAAAATTGACTCCATTTTAAACATTGAAAAATTAAAAGAACTTTTGCACTTTTAGTTTTTATAATGGAAAGAAGTTTTAATTCCACTTCCTCCTCCCCAGCTCTATGGATAGCGTCACAGCTCCTCAGTCGATGCATACAGACATCCCAGACAGACATTCAGGAATTCACGGTATACAGGCAGTCCCCGGGTTACGTACAAGATAGGGACTGTAGGTCTGTTCTTAAGTTGGATTTGTATGTAAGTCGGAACTGGCGTCCAGATTCAGCCGCTGCTGAAACTGACCAGCGGCTGACTACAGGAAGCCCAAGGCAGAGTTGCTCTGCCCTGGGCTTCCTGGAATCAGCTGCTGATCAGTTT